CGTCCCTGTGTGGCTCTACGTCCCTGTGTGGCTCTACGTCCCTGTGTGGCTCTACGTCCCTCTGTGGCCGTGCGTCCCTGTGTGGCCCTGCGTCCCTGTGTGGCCCTGCGTCCCTGTGTGGCCGTGCGTCCCTGTGTGGCCGTGCGTCCCTGTGTGGCTCTACGTCCCTGTGTGGCTCTATGTCCCTGTGTGGCCGTGCGTCCCTGTGTGGCCCTACGTTCCTGTGTGGCCCTACGTCCCTGTGTGGCTCTGCGTCCCTGTGTGGCCCTGCGTCCCTGTGTGGCTCTACGTCCCTGTGTGGCACTACGTCCCTGTGTGGCTCTACGTCCCTGTGTGGCTCTACGTCCCTGTGTGGCCATGCGTCCCCGTGTGGCCCCGCGTCCCCGTGTGGCTCTGCGTCCCTGTGTGGCTCTACGTCCCTGTGTGGGTCTATGTCCCTGTGTGGCTCTATGTCCCTGTGTGGCTCTACGTCCCTGTGTGGCACTACGTCCCTGTGTGGCTCTACGTCCCTGTGAGGCCATGCGTCCCTGTGTGGCCCCGCGTTCCCGTGTGGCCCCGCGTCCCCGTGTGGCTCTGCGTCCCCGTGTGGCTCTACGTCCCTGTGTGGCTCTACGTCCTTGTGTGGCTCTGTGTATTCTTACCTGGATCTGCTCGTTATGGTCGGTGACAGGGCACCAAGACACCACGTAACTGGAGCTGTGCTGCAATGGGCTCCAGGAAATGGTGGTCTGGGTCTGGGCTTCCTGGAATCTGGTCCTGTTACTTGGGAAGCCTGGGAAGGTTACCTCGTTCACCCACACCACAGGCCTCTGTGCCCCATTGGGGAAATACACGAGGGGCTCGCGGGGGTGCTGCCTATGGCCCAGGTTCTGGTGCTCCGTGTAAATGTGCTGACCTCCTTGGTCTGGCCTGTTGAGGCCACCATTACCCGCCACGTTTGGACGGTTGACCTCGGGCACGTCCAAAATACCAGGTCTTGAATGGTTGGGCACTGGGAGCTGAGACACTGGGATCGATGGATCTGGCTCTGTTTGGGAAACATGTCAGGAGCAAGCACAGTGTAGGCCTCTGTGTTAGCTGGTACGGTCGGAAAGGCCCTGAATGCAGGAACCAGCTTTCACTGCTGGAGTCTCCACACAGATGCTACAGAGTTTGACACCGCTTTCCTTTGAAAACTTTTACAAACCAGATTATTAATGGCCACAATTTTAAAAGTACTTACGTGTTCTGGCTTTGCCCACCAGCGGTGTGCTTTGCTTGGTGTCCTGTAGAGCTATGATATTAATGATGTACTCCGTACCGGACCTCAGACCTGTACACACAGACACACAGCTATGGGAGTGGCCAGGAACATTCCAGAATCTCTAAAACACGGAGAAGCTAGACTGGTTTAAATGCTGTACTATGGTTGTGAATATGCAGCGTTTTTACCAGTGACGATGGCTGAGTTCGTGCCGGCATGGGGGCGGGGCGTGAGCTCCCGGGAGATTCCCCCCGACTCCCGGTAGGAAATGCTGTAACCGCTGATGCGAGTGTGAGGCGGCTCCCAGGTGAAGGAAATGGAGTCGGGGGTTATAGAAGTGAACTGAATGTTTGTAGGGGATTCCACCACGGATTTCTCTGAAAAAGAAATATATGTATTGGGTGGAACCGCAGTAGCGCTTTTACTTCCAGCTGAAAAATCTTGCCGAGAAAGGCCGCTGAGAAGGGCCAGTGAAGAGCCGCAATACCTGTGGTGACAGGGATGGTGTAAGGATCGCTTCGGGAGTTTCCGTTCAGGGTGTACAGCCGGATTATGTAAGCGGTGCCAGGATGGAGACCTGTTGCCGATTAATCACTCATCAATAGACGGTATAAAAAAAATAGCTACACAGTGTGTATCCCAGCTTGTGATGGCAAACCATGTGTGTGACCTTGAGATGACAGTTTCATTATGTTAGTAAATTATGCTCCCTCCCAGCTCCCTGCCAGACAGTCCACGTTTCTGCTCCCTCTGAGCTCCCTGCCTGACAGTCCACGTTTCTGCTCCCTCTGAGCTCCCTGCCAGACTGTCCACGTTTCTGCTCCCTCCCAGCTCCCTGCCAGACAGTCCACGTTTCTGCTCCCTCTGAGCTCCCTGCCAGACAGTCCATGTTTTTGCTCCCTCTGAGCTCCCTGCCAGACAGTCCATGTTTTTGCTCCCACCAAAATTCTCTGCTAGACAGTCATTACCGGGAGCTGGGAGGGAGCAAAAACGTGGACTGTCTGTAGATCCCCGAGGACCGGATTGGGAAACATTGCAGTACAGTAAGAATCAGCGTGAATACCTGTGATGGTGTAGCTGCGCTCCTCAGGCGAGATGGTACTCTGGATGGGCTGGTGGCTGCCAGTACTGGGCGTGGCCTCAACAAGGTATCCGGAGATGGGCTCTGTCTTTGAGCGCCAGGTGAGGGTGATGGAGGTGTCCTTTACGGCCGAAACCCGCACACGGCGGGGGGGGCTAATGTCTGCACAGATAAGGAAGTATTAAAAACCAAAGAGACGAAAGCTAAGAGGGAGGACATATGTATATTTAATCTGTTTTCTTAATGAAATGTGTGATGAACTCTACTGCTTTTACATGGATCCTAAACCATCAATCATTCACCAGCACAATATTATGGGATTAATTATTTTTTTTAGATTTTTAGAAGCTAAATCCAAAAAAATGTGCTTGTTCCATACTGAAGATCATGTCAACTGCAATAACAGCAACAGCAGCAGCAACAACAACAACAATAATAATAATACATTTTGAAAATTCTAAATTATATTACATTAATTTTGATATTCATATTGGTCTGTGGTTTTGTTTTTCTGATGGACGCTTACTTACTCTCCAGAGTGGTGACCTCACTCTGAGCGGGGCGGCTGGTCAGGCTGTTTCTAAGGGAGTACACCTGCACCTCGTACACTGTGGAGACCTACACACGCCCCGGAATGAGAACAGTAACAGGGCAAGCTGAGCAAATTTAAGGCAAAGACCATGCAGACCTCGAATGATCCCATGGGTATATAAAACTCCCAGGGCATTAGGTATGACAGCTGTCATAAACATCATGGAAACAATGGAGAGATAAGTGCTCCTTCAGTATTAACACATCGCAGTTTCCCAGTCCGGTCTTCGGGAAGCCACAGACAGTCCACGTTTTTGCTCCCTCCCAGCAAACTGTCTGGCAGGGAGTTGAGAGGAAGCAAAAATGTGACCCGCGTGTGGGTCCCCGAGGACTGGATTAGGAAGCACTGATACAGGGTAGAGAGGAGTGGTTACCATGAGTCCAGGCACCATGACCTGGGTCTGATCAGGAGCCAGATTGATCTCCCTGGTAGGACCACTCTTGTTCTTGGGGTTAATAACCACACGATAGCCAGTGAGTCGAATGTTGGGGCCCCGCCACACTAAGGTGAAGAACGTAGGCCCCACTTGAGAGAACTCCAGGTTGGTGGGAGCAGGAACAGCTACAGATAGAGCAATGGAACCGTTAAAATGGAAGGAAAAGCTCTGGTTCTGTCAGTCCTCAACCATGCATGCAGGTAATTAATCAGTCATAAGAATGGTTCAAGGTGCACCTGTTGCCTGCCGGCTGACCAGAGCGGGGCTGCGGTTCTGGCCGTGCAGGGCGATGACCGTCACCGTGTACTCCGTCCCAGGAAGCAGTCCACGCAGCACCGCTGTCTCGTCATCGGCGCGGGGCGCGGGATACAGTTCGCGCTCACCTTCTTCGGTGCAGGAGTAAAGGACCCTATACGATGTGACCTCACTGTCAGGACTTTCCCAGGAGATTTTCATGGATGTGGAGTCCACATCGGAGAAGGTCAGGTCCCTGGGGCTGTCCACAGCTGTAAATCACAGTGTGGGTTTAATTAGTCTTTCATCTCTGGCTCAAAAAAAAACTCGAACTGTATGCAAAACTGCACGATCAGCATGTTACCACTGCCGGTTCACTCACAGGGCTGCACATCGGTCTCCACATTGGGCTTCACCACGGGCGTGTCCACTCCATTTTGTCCCAAAGCGTACACTTGCACGTCATACATAACTTCGGGCATCAGGCCTGAGATAGTTACCTGTGTTTGATCTGCAACATCAAAGATAGATCGCTTAGATACATGTGCTGGCACTGGACAGCACAAAAACTAGGCTCACCATCCCTGTTGTCGGTACATGAACTTTGGAGTAGCTCCACAATTAAAAAAATAAAGACCACAAAACACGAAGGTCCAAACTGAATACGTCACACAACAGAAGCTTTATGCCTTATCAAGGCTCCATGAATGAGACGGAGCTGTGAAGAAGGGAGGATATGTGCCCATCATAGGCTCGCCACACGCTTACCAGGGGGAACCTCACGAACAAAAGATTGCTGGCCTTCTTTGGTAGTTCCAATAACGCGATAGCCAGTGATTGGGCCCTGTGCCGGGGTCCAGCGCACTGTAATGCTGTTGTCCTGCAGATCTGTTACCGGCTCCCCAGAACCAAAGCCCGTGTCTACAGAGAGACAGCCATTCTTCTATTTACACCTCCTTTAAACAGTACTTGACAACATCAAAGCTGTTAGGAAATCAGGATAACAGAAAGACAAAACAGTACTACAAATTTTCTAAGGGATAACAATTATCCATCCATCTTCCATGCTGCTTACCCAGTACAGGGTCGCACCGCAATGAAATCATTAATATCCAAATTACCAAACTAAAATCTTGTTCAGTTTTCTAGAAGGGA